CGCGAGAACACACTCCCTCTCCCACCTGCGCCGCTTCTTTTGTTTTCTTTACATCACACACACACACACACACACACACACACACGCATGCACGCACACACACACACATGCACAAACACACACGTGTACAAATACACTAAATGTAAAAAATTTTAAATTTCTTAGTAGTGCTCATCACTTAGGGGAATTGAAATTTCTTAGCACAGCACAGAAGAGCAAGTCTGCAATATCTGGCTGGGTCTCTGACCCATTTTCTGCTTCTTTTGCACACAGGCCCTATCTCTGCCTCTGTCCATCCTCCTGGGACTTTATTGCAGTCTCTCCTGGGGTAAGAACATCCTTCCCGCTTCAACAAACTTCCCACTCATCCTTTGAAATCTAGCACAGACAACCCCTACTCCACAAATCCTCTCTGACCCCCTGAGCAGTTAGTGTCTGGTTCTCCTCTGTATATCTGCATAGTCTAAAACTTGATTACCTGCAGATAACGGCCAAGAGTTGCCATCTGAAGAAATCATCTACTTCCCTAAGGACAGGTAAATCCCTGAGACCTTCCTTCCTCTGCTTACGTCGCTTCTGCATTTTCCCACCTTCCCTGCAGCTCACCAGTTCAGCCATTTCCCTCCTAGCCCTTGCCTCACTGGCCTCCTCATCTCAGCTGCCATGATAGGCCAGTCCAACCCCTTCCCTCCCTTGTTTTCAAGTCCATGGATGGGGACACAGATCCACAGTTTATAACCTCAGCTGAACCTTCAAAATGAGAAGGCACATGAAGTGTCCCTGCTGACCACCACCCCTGCTCCCCAAGCCTACACTGCATGCTCTCACAGCCCTACAACCCCAGCCCCCCTCCCCCTTGCAGAAAATCCTCCCTCCTACTTTCTTACAAATGTTGAAGACAGGTGGAGATGTCTTCAACTTCCTAGATACCACCACCTAGCTTCACATATCTATTTTCAAAAATTATTATGGGGGGGACACGCATGCTGTGGTGATGCGCATGTGGAAGTCAAAGGACAACTCCGTAGAGTAAGAGTTTCCTTTTACTTTTATGTGGGTTACAGGGATCAAAGTCGGGTTGTCAGGCTTGCATAGAAAGCACATTTACCTGCTGAGCCATCCCATTGACCTAACATGACTATTTTTTTAATGTTTCTCAGGAAAGGTGTCCATTACCCCATTCAGGTTGACAGCACAGCATCTAAGCCCTGCCTCTACAGAGCTATGCCTCACTGGTAGGCCAGACCAGCCTGAGCCAACTACCTAAAGGTCTCTGGCATCTTCTATCACCCAACCCTCACCCCATTCACCCTCATAGTCTACTAAAGTTCAAAATAACCTGTTACAGATTTTATGACTATTTAAAAAGACTCCAGACATTAATAAGAAAAGAAAAATGTTGATCACCCTGATTTGACTAGTGCACACCATATGCATGTGTAGAAATACACACAATATCATTCATATACTCAGTGAATATATGCCAATTTTTAAAAAGGAGGGTTGGGGCTATAGCTTAGATGGTAGAATGCCTTCCCAGCATGCGCCAGACCCTAGGTTTAATTCCCACCACAATATAAAATCAGGTATGGTGTCAAACATTTGTAATCCCAGCACTTGGGGGATGGTAGAGGCAGGAGTATTAATAATTCAAGGTCATCCTTGTTCAAAACCAGCATGGGAGAAAGAAAATAAAAGTAAGAAGTTTTGTTTTGGTCTGGTTTGGGCTCCCCCATACTGGGGATTGGATCTAGGGCTTCTATGTATGCTAGGACTGGGGAGATGACTCAGTTGTTAAAGTGCTTGCTATGTAAGCATGAGAACGTGGGTTCAGATTCCCAGAACCCACGTAAAAAGCCAGTTGTTGTAGTGTTGGGCCTGTAATCTCAGCACTAGGAAGATGGGGACAGGACGATCCCTGGTACTTGTTGACTAGTCAGTCTAGACAATCAGTGAGCTTCAGGTTCACTGAGAGATGTTGACTCAAAAAACCAGGTTTGGAGAAACAAATGAAGACACCTGACATCAATCTCTGGCCTCCACATGAATGGGCACACGCATGCATGTGCACCCTACCTCCCCCTTCCATGTATATATCCCATACACATTCTCTCTCATACAAATTAAAAACATTTAAAAAAAAAAACTATTTCAAGTATTTCAGGAAAGCAGGGATGACAATCATTCCTTTCTGTTTTTTCCCCTCTAATAAGACGAATTAGATCTAAGCCTCCCTTGGAGGTGCTCTCAGTTCTTGCTACCTTTCTCTTCCCTAGAGGCAGCCACTGACCCAAAATCTGTCTGTGGTTATACAGTTGTGTTGCAGATATGTCTATAAATATGCAGCCCTGTCTTCGTTCGTACTTTTTACATAAGTGATATATTTTTCATATTCTGTAACTTGTATGGTTGTATTTTCTCAATGTACCCTTGTTAGGACATACTCAGAAACATACAGTCCATTTCATCTTCATTTTTGGCAAGTGCTCCATGGCATGAACACAATGTAATCCATGCCTCATTTCTTAGTAGTCTCTCCTGTTCACTGTTTCTGCATCTCCTCTCCTATCCCTTCTTTAATACTCTTGGCATTATCCTCTGTGCTTATTGTGCCCCTCAAACTGCCTGTCAAAGTCTCTGAGTTCCACACCGTCACTAAGCCCAAAGGATGGTGTTCATCCCTCTTCTCTCTGGATGACTTCTTCCTAGGGTCCTTTTTCATCCTTCTCCCATGCTGACCCTCAATCACCTCATTCATCCCTTATGAGAGATTCTTCTTTTGCTGACCCCTTAGGTCAGTGGTCCTCAATAAGACTGGGTGATTTTGTCCTCAGGTAACACTGATAACATCTGAAGACATTTTTGGTTGTGATAACAAGAGGGGAAGTCCTATTGACACCTAAGTGGCAGAGGCCAGGACAATCCCACACCACCAAGTGCTATCCAGTCGAAAACACTAGCTGAGGTAGGGAACCCCACATCTAAAAGCTGGTCTTCTGCAAAGTACTGATCTCTGGGCTTTCTTCCTTTCTACTCTGCACTTCCCATTCCCCAATCGGAGCCTACAAATACGTTGGACAGGTGAAGACTTCCCTGGAGACCCTGAGACCCACTAAACAGGCACTGTAAGGACTTCCTGCCTGACAGCTTTCCTTCAGGGATGGACTTACCCGGATGTTGGGTCGTTCTGGAGGAACCTCTGACACCATGTTGTGGTTGGATAAGTCACTGTTGGTGGTAGCAGAGCGTTTTCCACCTGTTTTATTGGACATGTCCAAGGCTGATCTGATTTCAAATTGACAAAAGAAAAGAACTAGTCAGAGCCAAGAAGCAAGAAAGCAAGCACCGGCCCTGTCCTACCCCACCACCCACTGTCCCAGCATCACACAAAACCCCAGCCTGAGGTGCATTAGAAGGGTATCTCAGAAGTTCCTTTGGCTCTTCTGGGATCGTCTGCCAGTCATCTTGGGCATTCTCCTTTTTCTCCCCTATTTATTCATGGGTTTGGATTGGTTTGTTTGGTTTTTTAAGACTGGGTCTCATATAGCCCAGGCTGACCTCACACTTACTATGTGGCTGAGGATGACCTTGATCCTCCTGCTTCTACTTACCAAGTGCTAAGATTATAAAGGTGTGTTCCATCACATTTCCTGTTCATGTAGGTTTAAAATCTAGACTCTAAGACCTTAGAATTCGTGTTAGTTTTTATCTTATTTTATTTTGAGACAGGGTCATGGCCTTGAAATTAAGATCCTCTTGACTCAGGCTCCCAAGAAGGTGGGATTATAGGTGTGTACCACCAGGCTTGCCACCTTCTAAATTTAAAGGCTTAATGGTACACACAAAGCCCTGTGTTTGATCCAAGAGAAAAAAAGTTGACTATAGGCACAATGGTTCAATGGTCTATGAATTATCCTCCTGTGAGCCAGGATCCACAGTGAAGAGTAAGCATTCCTATCTCTAGCTCACATCAGATTCCCTCTGTGACTCTTTTGGAGGCTCCCTTGTGCTAGCTAACCTCAGAACTGGCTTTTACACCTTCAGCTCAACCTATGGGGCACACTGTCGGGGTCCCTGCTAGGCCCTGGGAAAAGTGGGTGAGGGGTCAAAAGATGAATCTAAGAGACTCAGTGAGGATCCCAAATATTTCCTCTTCCTCCCCTGCTCCACCTACCAGGTAGCTGCAGGATGGTGGTGGCAAAGAACAGAAAACAAGCAAACAGAGGGAAACTCACGTCTTCAAGTCAAACTTTTTGTTTTCCTCTGGGACCTGGCCAGTCACTGGGTGTCGAAATGTGTTCCGTCTTTCATTGTGGCTGCAGGGGAAAAAAGAGGGAAGAACTGACATCAGCTACAGAGGGCAGAGTCACAGGCCAAAGGAGGATAAGGCCAGAGGCAGTAACACGTGAGCATGGAAGGAGCTGTGGCCCTGTCACCCCAGAGGGATCAGTGGGGATTGGTGGGACGACTCGGCGATAGTATAGGAAGCTGCAGGTGGAGGGGGTCGGGGAGAAGGAAAGGAACCTAGTCACCTTCACGGGACTGGGCTAACCACTTGCTAGAGATCCCAGGCTGTCAACAAGCCACACTCAACTCATTCAGTGGTCATCTTAGGAAAGGGTGGGAGGGTGAGGAGGGACTTCTGACAGAGTTTGACACAGTTGAGATTTCCTGAGGCAGGTTCCCTCCCAGGGACAGCGCCTGCCAGTGCTCCACACAGAAAATGCTTGCTCATAATTTGCTGAAAAAATTCTCTTGTGACCTTGGACTTCGCTCCTGCTTTAAGCTCCATCTCTTTCTTTAAATTAAATAGGAAATTCAGAAACTCCATGACTGAGCTTGGGCTGGGACTCAGCCACACTCCAGGACCATTGTCTCCTGTCAAGAGGCTGTTGGATATTGCAGAGCCCTCAGGAACTGTCAGGCATCAAGGTCAGTCCTGGCTTAACAGTCAGATCTAATTAAGGGCTGTTGTGGCCAAGAATGGGGTAGCAAACCCCAGGGGCTGGGTGTGAGGTAAATGGGAGAAGCAGGAAGAGGCACCTATGACTTACATAGCAGGCTAGCAACTGGGGGGGCTCTCAGGGGACATGTAGGAAGAAGGCAGCAGAGAGATCTTGGGGGTGGGGCAGTGGCTCTGATAAGTGGGGACCACCTAGCAAGAACCTAGTAGTGGACAGCTAGTCCCCATCCCACAGGGGCTAGACGAATTTAAAGATCCTCTTCCCTATACCTCTTAAGAAATAACAGGAGAGTCTAGCACATGCTCTTATGGTCAACCCCAAGCACATGGGAACAGAGACTGCTGAAGCAGAGCCACTTAAGCACTCCCAAAGCAAAAAGAGGGCAGGCACTTTGTTCAACTAGTTACAGGTCAGCTACTACCAGAGGAAAGTGTGCTTAACTCGGTCCCTTCCACCATCTTCCAATACATCCTCCAGGACACATCTCAGCCCTTGAGATGTTAGCCGAAGCTAAAGATAATATCAAAGAGATTTTTTTTCTGTGTTCAACCAAGTCCTTTTCAGATCAAACCCACAGACTTGCAGAAGATGAGAGCCAGCAGGCAATGGCCTCAGTCTCTGTGGAAACATGGGGTTTTAACAGCCCAAGTCAGATCCAAAACCTGACTAGCATCTGTCAGGTCCAAGTTCAAACTCAGCACATTGGTAATTCGTGTTCCAGTTCCCAAACTGTAGTCCCTTCTCCCCCACACATCTCATAAGGATGCCCCCTCAACTTGATCATAGAGGATCTTCACAAGGAAGGGTACCTGCCTCAGAACCCTTGTCCCTGACTTTGGCTTTCTTACATGATGGGGGTTGGGGGCAGCAATCAGGGTCAGTGAAGGTCCTTCAAGTACCAAGTTCTGTTTTTGTTCAATGATGTGGGGTGTTCACCCATTTCCTACCAACCCTACCCTTCAGGCCCCTTTTGTGTTCTTGGTAGTAACTCCTAAGAGTATCCTGCAGGCAGTAGTTGGGGTGGGGAGAGAGAGAGAGAGAGAGAGAGAGAGAGAGAGAGAGAGAGTGCTGTTGGCTGGCTTAATCTTCCAGGGCATGGCACACCTCTCCCTGGCCTGAGCTTCCTACCCAGCAACCCCTACAAACAATGTACTCTCTCCATCCACTGCTAACAATTTCAAAATAGCTTCCCCTTCACAGGCACTGCAATGCAGCAGCCACTGACCTATCTATTCTCCTCCCAGGTCATGGTCCTCTCCAGCAAGACCCTTCACCACCAAGCCCCTAGATTCAAACAGGATGAGTGCCAACTTGGCCTGCTCCAATTTTACTAGGCTCACGGTCCATGGAGGAAATTCCTACCTGACCCGTCGATCAGCCCGAAACTTCAACATCGTTTTGGAAGCTCAGTCCCCAGCTCAGCAACCTCAGAGGAGCCACCAGCCACCCTGCTGCTACCATCCCTCTGAGAAGTAAGTCCTTGGGTCCAACTCTTAATGCTATGGCAGAGACGCAGGCCGAGCTGTGGCAGAGTCCACGAGTTGCCCCTTTTTCCTGGCTCTGGTAGTGGAGAACAGGAAGGGGGTTCCCTCTGGATGATAGCAGGAATCTCCCAGGTGCCCTAGGGGACCTGTGACTTCCTAGCATTCAGCCACAACGCTATAGTCAGAGGACTTGAAGCAGAATAAATGAAGAGGGCATCCTTTCGGCTCAGGTTCCCAAGAAGGAAATGCAGAAATGGAGAAAGGCACGCATGGAGCAGGTGTACAGCTTCCAGGTAGTCCGACCTCACTGAGCTAAGGACACTGAGCAGCTGGGTGGGTGGAGGAGCACAGGCTGCATTCCCATCTGCACGGCAGAAACTCATGCCAGCCCGACCTGCAGGAAGAGGGTGCTCCTGCCCCTCTAGCTCCCAATCCAGACCCGGGCTCTGGGGCTGCAAACCAACTTGTTTCTCAGAGACCCTTCCAAATCCTTCCAAGCCCTTCCAAGGGTTAAAGGAAGCTCTGGATTGATTGGCTGTTATTGCTGCCACTGCTGAGAAGCTAAAAAGAATTGAAAAAGTCTCTTCTCTCCTCTCTCAGCCTGCCCAGGCTTCATTGGTACAGACAGAAGCATCATGCCTGAAAATCTCTGCAATCAACCAGACACACTCCCCTATCCAGCAGCACGGCTTGCTTGCCCTTCATGTGTGCTGGTCCAGCTGCCAAGGAGCCGGACACATACAGCCTGAGCAGGGTGGGTGGGATGTTTACGGAACCCCAGTTTCTGGCAAAGATCAGTTTCTTTTACTCAGGCAAAATTAAAGGAAATCTTCCTCTCAAAGCTGGTGAGGAAGGGGGCAGGGAATGAGGCTTGAGAGAGGGGTCTATGTATCTATTGCTGCAAATCACCCCAGATGCAAGATGATAAATTCCAGCTGGTTACTGTCAGATCTGTTCAGGCACAAGGAGGTTTACATGGATGTTAATTCCCCTGAATTTTCCACAAGCCACGGCTAGTCAAATCTCCCCTTTCTTAATGTCCTCCCCATGCTTTAGATCCTTGGGCTGCAAGACCTTCTGAAGGTCACCTCTTTATTCCCCCTGCCTCCAGACAAGCTTACCCTCTTCTCAATCCCCGAAAGAGCTTGGGAGTTCATTAAGGGCTCCAGCAAAGGAGGCCCCAGGCCCAACGTCATCTTACACTGCCACGATGCACTTTCTGATGCCAGATTTCAGCTCCTCTGCCTTCTATATGCCTCCGCTTTGTCTTCATAGGACAGATTCATTTCTGACCAAGGTGGTTCTTTTTAGCAGAACCAGGCATTCTGTTGACATCATAGTCTGTTGCGATGGCAATTCTGTGATCTCACAACAGACACTGAAAGGGCGGGGTTAATCTAATTGTTTGGACTGAGGTCAGGGAACAGCACAATTAATGAACAGAAAAACAAATGGACAATATTATTTAACCCATAAAGAGACAAACTGGCTAGGTATAATTGGGGTCACAGCTGTTGATATTTAAATAGCTAATCCTAAATCAGAAAGGTCAACATATTCAGACATTTAGTGGGACTTTGGTAAATGATTTACCCTGGTGACATGAGTCCTGGAACCTGTCCCTAGCTACTGAAGCCAGCCCCTCTCCTGATACCTGCTTGAGGTCCCTGTCTTCCTACAGTAAGTGCTCAATAAAGATTTACTGAGTGCTCAAATGAACAGATAAAAAAGGAACGATTCATGCTCTGGTGTCATTTTTAGCTATTTGCATTTGAACTTTGACATTCTATTACCAAGGGTTTCCCTACCTTAGCTCTCTCTTACAATAATTACTTCCTCTCCAGGAGGAAAGTTCTGTTTCTGTTCCTTCGCCCCCTCACTCAGCTTCCTTGACTGGCTCTCCCCTGAATATATAGCTTGGCTTTGATCCATCTTCATTAAGAAGAGAAGAAAATTAAGCTCATCCGAACAGGAGGAGGAAGGGGTAGGGTGCATTGGGAAATGAGTTTTCTTCCTCTAGGAGGCAAAAATATCCCTGTTTCTTCAAGCTGAGCTCAGGGGCCTCCCACAGCCTTGGTTAAATTACTTCTCTCATGCCTAGTGAAGACAGTGCAAGTGAGTGGGGACGGAGGGCGCAAAGACTCCTGCGCACCGAGAGCCCCCAAATCCTCAGGGTTAGGTTGGTGCAGAGGCCTGGCTGGTGCTCTTTTCTTTTCTTTCACCACTGGCCTGCACAGAATGGCAGATTCTTATTTTAGGTCAGACAGCAAGAAAATTTTACCAGGTACAGAACATTGTAAAAGGAAACAGTTTTCTTGCTCTTCTTTATTTACTTTGGGGATGTCAAAAAGCATCGAGGGCAAATGGTTAGGAATACAGACACAAGTGGACCTTTCAAATTCCACCCAAGAGAAGAGATTCTTGGGCAATAAGGACTTAGTGGCAGAGGAAGGGACACTGCTAGCTTCCAGAGTCGCCCAGTAAGTGGTCACTTCTCCAATGGACCTACGATATGGCCTGTCAGCGGAAAGAGATGGACAGGCTTCACTGCAAGACATGGCCTGAGTTTGCTGTGTGGTCTCGCTTGTTTGGCCCTTAGTTTGCTCATGTGCAAATGGGACACCTTCCAATTCTATGACATAATCACTGCAAACTTTCAAAACGGGAAATATTTTCTCCACAAGACATAATGGCTTTACTCACACTGCTTGAAAAACAAATCAAGAAATATACAGATCCAAGAGTGAAGAAACTAAAACCAGACTAGAGAACAGCACTTTACATGAGCAAGGATGGCATTACGCAAGCACTAAGACCCATACATTCCCTCCACCTCATTAGGGTGCTTCTGTAGCTTGACATCCTTAG